ATAGCTGTGCCTCCACCTCTACGGTGAAATCTGTCACAACGGAACAGTTGGTAGCCTTCAATTCTGACTTCGCTACTACTAATTTCCTCAGTCAACCATGTCTCTGTTAGGACAATTATGTGTGGCTTCTGTTCAGAAACTAGTAATCTGAGTTCATCTAGCTTGTTGAGAAGACTCTGACAGTTAGTGTAGTAGATTTCTAGACAGCGGCCACTGGTTCGAGCAGTCTCAGAAGTTGGCACCTCTGCATCGGTTAGGCTGTCAGAATGACGGCCTTCGGCCAGATAAATGTCCTTTGAACCTGAATTATTTGTCCATTCTTGATTTTTAGGTGTGTTTCGCCGCTGTTTCTCCGCTTTTCCAGCTCCGTCATCAGCTCTCTCATTTTCATTCGCTCTTTTGGCTCGTAATCCGGCTGAAAAAAAACTTCAGGATGCTGACCCCGTAGAGATGATTTTCTCTGTAACAGAAGCTGGGCCTGTGCTTCAGTCTCCAAAATGACTTTTAGGAGTCGAGGCCGGGAATTGGAAGCGGATGCTGACTGACTCTTCCCTATTCGGAATGCTTTGAGAACACTTAGTGACTCATCGTCTCTTAACAAAGTTTTCGCATACACTTGAAGAAGGTCTAAGTCATGCTTAACTCTCTCCTTTGGTACTGCTGCCGTTGATTCGGGTACTCCTTTTATAACTACATTTTGCTGGCGACTGAACCTAGTGCTCGCTGTTGTCACACATCTTTTGAGTGACTGAGCGTTCTTCTCCAGTTTACTAGTTTCGCTGGTTTCGGATGAACTAGCTATTGGGCTAACGAAACTGAGATCCGTGTACGATTCATTTATCTTCCTGTTGATAACCCATCCTTCTGTGTTTCCGAGGTGTTCGTCGAAAAAGTTTACCTCAGTTTCTTTCGAAACCTCCTCCTGAATATTCGGTCCAAAAGGTGTTCCGATATCTTTATTGTTCAACATATTTGGGAGCCTCTGGCGGTCCTTCGTAGGCCTCCTGGTCGTTCTCCTTCGCAGGTCTGCGTGTACGTAGGCAGACTTCGTTTTTTGGACCGTACAGAGGTGCGCGTTGTTTTTCTGGAATGTTTCTTTGTTATCTGAGTTCGCTTCGGCTGGTCTTTTTCTCGCCTAAGAGACTGGCATTCAACTGTGTCTAGTTCCCTGTACGAACATTCGTCAGTTTCAGCGTTTGATATGGCTAAAGAAGCCGTGGTTGCATATGTTTTTTTCGGATTCTGAATTGCCGAATTCGTCGGCTTCTTCTCTTCACGTAAGTGGTGAGTAAGCTGCCTTAACTGTTCTACCTCCATTTTTAGACCTTTTAACTCCCCCTCCATTTTTGAAAACTTATGGACGAGTCCGAAACATGTGGTACAGATTTCATCGTCGTATGTGACATCCCCCAACGTCACTAGACTTTTTGCGCGTTTTACGGGCATTGGTCTGACAGCAGAACGTCCAACACTGCAGTCATTAATATCATGCGTAATACAATATGCATTATTATTTTTGACAACGTTGGCGCGAGTCAGTGGCCTACCCTAATAGCAAAATGTGCTCTGAATGAGCTCGCACGGAGCTCGTTTTGCGAGGCAGGCGAGCTCTGCTGGAGCTCTGAAATGGTCAGCGAATAGAGCTCATACGGAGCTCGCGTAAACGAGCCCAAAATGAGCTCTGAAAAACGGGCTAGCGAGGTCGTTCCGAGCTTGGCCCGAGCTCCAAAAAACGAGCTCCAGCGCTTACCCAACCAGGGGTTTCCCTCACTTGTGCTGCCCAATTCCCATTAATAACCGCCCTCTTTTCCCGGTAAGGTAAATATAGGAACACATGTTTGGTGTATCAGAGTTCTATTATAAAAAATAGTTATGAATAAATGGTGTTTTAATACACTAAAAGAATGTGCCAGTTCCTTTGTGTTCTAATCAGCGCCTCCTTCGATATTTGAGGACCGGTCTAAAAGGGAAAGATGTGGCAGTGGTAAGTAAACATATTAAGATTTATTGTACATAGTAATAGCATAAATATATTAACAGGTACCATTTGTTTGCCTACTTAGCGATGCCCTATGGCACTTTCTTTGATACCGATCGTGACACTTCTTAAACGCATTCTTAAAAGCATTCTCTAATTGTTGGCGGTCCGAGTGGCGTTCCGTATTCCATCGTTGGAAGATATCTGCAATGTGAATGTTTATTAGGTTTAATTGCAAATCCTACCCAGTATCACGGAATACACCGGACTGTCAAAAAAAGCCCGTGTACCCGGTTTTCTTCCGTAGAAAGTAAGGAACTCCGATACGTCCTCAGAAAAAAATTGTGAAAAGTAGTCGTTCGGCAAAGGCCGAAACAGTGTCACCCCCCATGGTTGAGAGGTAGGCAACCTGAATTTGGTTATTATTAATAAGGAAGGCTGTTTACCATATTCCGCCTGTATGACGCGTCCGACACTCGTGTCGTCAGCTCGTCATAACCAGCCAATGTGCAAACTCGTTGCAAAATTGGTGTGTCAACGGCTGACGGCAGTGAGTTGGATGCCGCCAGGTGACGAACAACCTCCATAATTGCATCCATCTGGGCTTTTAGTTCTCTTTGCCCAGCCAGTATTTCCTTTATACCGGCTGGCCAGTGAGATCCTTTCTTATGATGCCTATGTCTCCGCTGGGTAACCGATTGCTCATGTCTTCTTCGCTTTTGTTTGGGAGTGCTAGTTGCATGCCCTCCATCTGAAATTTATATAAGTAATAGCCAAACAGAAAACTTACTTGAACGATTAGGAGACTGCCCCTTTGGAATTGTCGAGCTGCTGTCCGTATTGGATTGTGATTCCTAAAAAGAACCTGTTTCGCCATGCTTTGTAATCCTTACCGTCGTTGAGGAACTAGATGGAAAGGAATTGTCACCTATGTACTCCTGCCCTATATATTTCTTGTTTGGCCGCCCTTCCCTATGCGGACGTTCGCACATAGTTCTCTACAACCCAACGGGAATTTAGTTAGTAAGGTTGTGGGCCTAAACTAATCTAAGTCCCACAGATCCCCCGCACCATTTGCGAATCTGTAAATAAGGGACCGTTGGGTTGTAGGATTCGCAGATAGTGACCGCTTAGCGGTGGGATTTCAAGTGAGACACTCAAGAACTTCGAAGAAAGTGTTGAAATGCCGTCGTCGTACGCAATCATCCGTCAGCTGGGAGGCTCACCAACCGCCGCACTATCCGCTGTGTCCCAACGTCCATTAATTTCAATGAGGACGAATCCCTCCTGCATTGGGAAGCAAGCATACTTCTGCACCGTGCTCGGCAAACGGCAGCTGTGAATATCGCTCCCTAACCTGCACCTGAAAACCTTAATGTTCGAGGAGTCTACGGGATACTCAAAGAAGTCTTCTATGTTAATCAATTCCGAGTAAACTATGTCGATGTCGCCAGATGCATATCGCACTATATTTCTAATCCTAACTAGTTTATCGTCGATGGCCACTGAGCCGTCAGCAATTGTAGTACGAATGACTAAGTTACCCATTTGAATACATTTAAATTGCGTAAATGCACCATGATGCTGCCCTAATGGTCCATCTGTATGCTGTTGCTTACACGTCCACTCCAGCTGAAGGCGGACATCACTTGGCACTGACTGCAATTCCCCTAACCTACGCACTACTTGTTGCAGTGGCTGGGATGGTTTCCTCAGCAGACGCTTTAACCTACCTAGGTAACTTTCGAAGGGGAACGATGAAAAAGCGTCCAGTGGACCATGTCGTTTTACATCGTCCGCCAAGTGCACAATGCTGTGAACATTATACACCATTTCCTTCCTACCGTACAAAGAAGCAAATTTATCAACAAACATGCGTAATATGCGGCTACAAAATGGGACCCAATGTCTGCAAGAGCGAGGCCGCACTAGGCAGCGTACTGCTGTAAAAAGCAGTAAGAAGTGCTTCCGAAACTTGCGTGGAAGCACACCATAAAGAACAACTACGCCAGTGTACAACAAAAACTGGCGCAGTTCTGTGCCCTTCCACGTGTCCAGGTCGTTTAATGACCTAGCGCGCTGTGAAAATTCCCTCGGTAGGTACGAGTTCAACGCGCGCAAGTTCTTATTTACAGTGGATACCTCCGATGTGGACAGCCTATATGCACTGCCCCTAGGGCTGCGCAGCCACAAGTTGAGCAGTCTTCTCATTACACCGAGGTAAACCAAATGCAAAGGATCTAAAGGGAATGAGCTTACCATTCCCACGTTGCATGCCAGCAATGGCGATACGCCAATGCGGTGGCAGTCATCGTCCCTGGAAAAAAAATCCTCATCTGTCCTAGCATGTTCGGAAACACTATCATAAACTATCTTATCGATGTACTCCCCCTTAACGCAACAACGTTCGCAGCCATAGTAAGCATTGACATTCTTAATCTGCTTTATAAAAGCTCTTGCTGGAGCGTCGCAGATGACGGAAGCCAGACGGAAGCGCAGACTTCTGTCACCCCCATCGAGCAGCAAACCGTCTTCGTTCAAAGACATTAAATCGTCGACGAGTGGTTTGCAGAACGCCTGCACGTTCGACGGCTTACCTACTCCACAATATATACCTACAGTGAAGACATTACTTAATATAGGCTTACTAATTCTGCCTAAAATAGGCCAAAATTCACGTTTGGTCTTCCTATGGATTGGAAGACCGTCTATTGCTAGGCTAACAACGACTTCATCTACCGCAGGGGGGAGAGCTAAATTACGCAACTGAGCGTTAATCTGAGTGGGAAGGCCCAAATGCACGTACTCACCGCTGACCATTGCCGTGCTCGGTGCAGAGAAGTATTTTGCGCCCAACAGCGTTCGTGCGTCAGCAGGTAGGTCAGGCAACCACGGTTTCAGAGCCTTGAGGAGATCGTTCAAGTGGGAATGCGGAATCTTAGACCGTAAAGCCCACTTTCGCAAACTTTCACGAGGACTTGGAACTTCCTCCTCAACTACTGCCGTTAAGCCGACTTCTTCGTCCGTAGGCTCACTCGTACCCTCCGAGGAAGACGAGCATTCATTTGCCATAGAAGTTGAGGACAGAGAATCATCCGTGTCGCTTTCAGACCAGCTATCGGATGATGTGTCCGACGACGGCATTTCACCCATCTCTTCGTTGATTCTTCGCATAATTTCTTCTGCTTCCTTAAGTGCTTGGCGCCGTATTTTACGCCTATTAACAGGAGCAAACATTATTGTGAGAAAAATGGGAGCACAGAGAACACCAAGAAGAGTGATATAAGGCAAAGACAGTCAATGGCAGCGTTGACTGGGACACGGCGTGCGCAGTGCAGCGTGAGAAAGCAAAAAGTGGCACCAGCGAGAGCCGGAGGGTTATCGGCCGCCGAGGCTAATCGATAATCAAGTGCAAGTATGCGCGGCCGCTTGCGCCCTTCGCGTCGCCGGCGCTGCCGACCCAGGAACCAATCAAATCACGAGCAGGCTAAAGAGCACCTACCCCCCTAGAGTACGTTAGCTCGCGGCGAGCTCGCTTGCTATTAGGGTAGTGGTATCGACGGTTGTCTGTCCGACCGATGGACCGGGTTCAAATCCCGCCTTGGGCATGCATTTTATAACGTGTTTTGAGGGCATTTCTCTGAATAACATTACCGAGTTTACAAGTTTCAAACGGTTTTCTTAAAGGTATGACACGAATTTTCAACCAGATCGAGGATATGAGGTAAACGACTCAGCCTTTCCTAGGTTTTGGGGATAGCTCAGTGCTGTTGCAGAGAGGCGACTGGACGAAGATAGGTTATCCCTCACAAGTCCTGGTGTGGTCGAAAGGAGATAGGTTTTCCGAACGAGACTCCCGTTGAAATTCTGTGAGAATCGAGATATTGCTATGAAGAATCGACTTGTAAATTCCGAGAGGCCGTCAGGGTGTCCAGGACTCAGGAGACTCGGAAAAGTTAAATCCCACGGAGGTCAAAAATTTCAAACCGAATTCAAAATAGGACAGAGTACAATAGGTTAACTGCTTCCATAGGGAATGTTGTAAGAAGATATGGGCTCCAGTCCAATGATCTAATATAGTTGTTCATGGAGTCCTCGTCAAGTTTTTTTGGGTTTAGGCGGGTGTTACCAAAATGGGGTGCTAGTTTTGCGTTTAAGGGGAGTGTTGATATTATTGCTTTGTGGTCACTTTCAAAGGTTGCGCAGTCGTAGTGCATATAGAGGGGCCAGATATCGTTGGTGAAAATAACGTCTAGTATATTGTTTCCTCGGGTGGGTTTGTCAACTATCTGTGTCCAGTTATTAAAGATAAGGTTTTGGTGGGGTCTTCACTTTCCAGTGAAAGTACTATTGTAAGCGGTGTCCTACAAGATACCGTTTTAGGTCCTATTTTGTTATTGCATTACATAAATGATATCTCGGAAGCAGTTAAGCATTCTCAATCATTTATTTATGCCGATGATCTCAAATGTGTATATTCTTTTAAAAATCTACGAGCCTTCATTGCCTGGAGCAAATCCATGCTGACATGCTTGCTGTCTCAGCTTGGAGCTCAAAATGACTAATGGAATTCTCTCCGTCTAAATGTCGCTATATGTGTTTTGGACCTGATAGGCTACCCCAACCAGTGGTCTTTCAAGGCACACCTATGACTGAATGTACCACCATCAAGGATTTAGGCTTAAGCTACACTAGTAATCTTGATCTCTCGCCACACGCTGACAGAATTACAGCCAAAGCTGCCCAGATTTGTGGCTTTATTTCTTACAATTTCCATCTTTCTGAAATTAAATTAAGGCTCCATCGTCTGTTTGTACTTCCCATTCTCGAGTATTGTTGCCAATTCTTTGGTTTGATGAATGAAGCTAGTCGTTTAAAAGTTGAAAATGTGCAAAGACGTTTTTCTAAAAAACTTTTAGATAGGGAACATCCCAATATCTCCTACTCTGATAGATGCCAGCTAATTAACCTAAAATTTTTATGGGTTCGAAAACTAGAAGCGGGCTTCTGTCTCCTCTTTCGCATTAATAATAGTTCAAGTCGTCCTCGGATTTGAGCACTTACCCCTAGTAGTCGCCCATACGATCTTCGCAGCTCGTCCTTGATTATACCTCCTTCAGCGTCCTCCACCTCTAAGCGCTCTCTTTTTTCGCTTCCAGATATACTTTCCTCTGGAATAACCTTCCAATAAATATAAGATCTTCAGATAATCTACATACCTTTAAGAGAAGGTTACGCCTTCGTATGAATACTGACTCGATTAAGCTTTTATTTTCCTCATCCTTCCGGGACAACTTTCTCTATTACACCGAGGAAGGGCCACCAGGAATTTAGGACGCCGCGATTAACTTTCCGTATCTGTTCACATTTCCTTCCTTTGTGAGTCGTATCGCTTCCTAAGATCCCTCACCGGAAATGTTAATTTTTCCAATTTTTCACTTCATGGATCGTGCCATCACAGAATGCACTCCATCGACGCTCTTGGCGAAACCTTCTGTATTCGCCATATACTAGTAGTGTGGTCGCATCTCCCTTGCCCCATAATCGGATGGAATAGGATGAATGTAACCGACCGCATCTGGGTTCCTATGGCCTCGAGACTGGTGTTCATCGTGCTCCCACAGAATCCGCTCCATCGACGCTCTTGGTGAAACCTTCTGTATTCGCCATATACTTGTAGTCTGGTCGCATCTCCCTGTTCCATCCTCGGATGGACTCTGATGAATGTAACCGACCGCATCTGGGTTCCTATCACCTCGAGACTGGTTTTCAATTTCGCCACTTATTGGCCTTATTCAAGGCCACATACAGGCCAGTCCTGACTGACCCGCCTACTTACCCCTTCATGAAACCCGTTATACAATGCCATATACAGCT